CATACAAAAAGGGTATGTATAGTTTCCAAAATTCTGATAAATCTTTTTCCCATTCCATCTAACTTCTCCTCATTAACTTCACAGTAGACCTGAAAGGACAAATACTGTATAATTTCACTTATGTGAGGCACCTAAAGTAGTGAAAACTATAAGATATAAACTAGAATATTGGTTGGCAGGGGATGGGAGAAGAGGGAACAGGGAGTTAGCATTTAATTGGGAAATGATAATTTTCACGTTTGCATGATGAAAAGACTCTTGGAGATGGATAGTATTGATGGCTGTACGGCAATGTGAATGTACTAATTGCCACTGAATGAGACACTTAACATGGTTAAGTTGGCAGATTTTCCATTAGATTATTTTACTACATAAAAGAAATGATGTCATAGTAGAAATGAGGGACATATTGCCCCAAATGACAGTTGTAACACTAGCCATCAGCATCACCTCCCATAGGGACTTGCATCAGCTATGAAAAGCCACTATAACCAAGGTCACAGCTCCTTCTGCAGCTGTCCACATCCCATGATATTTGGGCCCTTGGCACCAGTTCCAACCATCTCTAAAGATTCATCCTAGATCCAGAGCTCCCTGGTAATTTTAGGAGGGCTTTGATGGGCTTCAAGTTGGCTTGATTTTCCCACTGCCCTTGGTTGCTACAAAGTGTTCACCAAACCACAGAGTGAGGGAACAGTGTCTGTAGGACTGTCTTCACTTCAGACACCAGGCACACATTCAGGAGTTCCCAGGCCACCCTCACTTCAGATCAGCTGGCCCAAATTAAGGGACTCCCTTACTTGCAATGATTAGCTAGATGTCAGATAAGCAAAGGAATTCCCTCAGGTTCAATAATTTACCAGCTTGAGTCACAGAACTTAAGATAGTGCTAGTCTTATGATTATACTTTTCTTATAGCAAAAGAATGCAAAATAGGACTAGACAAAAGAAGATACACCTGGGGAAATATCTGAAAGGCTCCATAGGTAAATCTTGTTGTTGTCCTCTCCCCATGGGGTTCAAATCCATTACCTCATCCTGGCCACAATGTGAGACAACAGTCAGAGTCTGGCTAACCAGGGAGCTCACCTGAGCTTCAGGATCCAGAGATTTTATTGAGGCTTCATTCATTTCATTGGTGGGATAAATTGAATCATTTCCCATTTGGTTGAACTCACTCTTCAAGCTTTCTCCCTAGATATTGGGTTGACCTCAGTTCTCCTGAAGCACCAATCCTTCACATACGTGCTTGGTCTCTTTGGCACAACCAATTGCCAATTTCAGTCATCTCATTAGCATAAACTATCAGGTATGGTACATGGGGTCCCCCACAATAACCAATCACTTCTATCACTAGCTAAATTTCAAGAGCTTAAAGGTTACCTCCCAGGACCTGAGGAAAAGGTCATATCTGTCTGTAAGTGAGGACAAATTCTTTCCCACACATGTGCCCTTCTACAGGTGTTGATTCCAGGGGCACTACCTGGTAACCATCCTGCATGCTCATCACAATCTCTGAGTCTCTTGGATGAAGCCAACTTGGCATATCTGCTTAGTAATAAAACTACTTTGGGATGATGTTAAGACAATTCCAAGGTAGTTTTAAAAAAGTAGTCAGCAATGCTTTATAAATTAGAAGCCTGGTGCTTGGCTCAGTGATGGAAAATTCAAGCAGAGGAGTTGAGGTATTGAAATTTCAGGGTAGTAGGTAGGTCCCCATAGAAAATCTTAATGAATCTAGAAATCCAAACTCAGGAATGCTTGATACAAAGGGAGAACACATTTAAAGGACACATGGACAAAAACCAGGGGGAGGATGGTAATGGGAGGAAAGTGGGGAGGGAAGGGTGGGTGGGCTGGAATGGGAATAAAAAAGAGAAAACTGTAATTCTTGAACAATGATTAAAATAAAAAATAAACCAAAAAACCAAAACAAAACAAAGGTAGAACACAGTTTGAGATAATAACATCTGCATGGGTATTACACTTCAAAAATGTTTATTTAAAAATATTAAACCTTAAAGTGTAAATAAAATATGAGTTAAGAATGATAATTTATTTGGCCCGTGTCATTTTCTTGAAATTTCTAGAGGCCCTAAGTTCCAATCAGAAGCACCCACTTGGCCCTGATTTTTGTTCCAAGTTTGGTCAGGTTCTCCTGATTCTGTTGTTTAGGTTCAGAAAGCATTGAGAATACGAGAGTGTCTAACACTAAGGATATTGCTTTCCTCCTGGGAAGAGGTACCTGAAGACCTGAGGCATGTACCAAGTCTTGTCCATTGGAACACAGAGATGCACAGACAGGTGACCTGAAAGAGTGGAAGGAGCTTGAACTGCAAGCTGGCTGACATACTACTTAACTCTCTTCCTGTTTCCTCTCTCAAAATTCATGAGAATATAGCTGCTCAGATTTGCTGGTGATTTGTATTTCCTACTCTTGCAAGAGTGTTCTAAAAGGCTTCTGAATGTTCACTTTCTCCTTTTTTACATGAAAGCTAGTTTTTGTTTTTGTTTTTGGTGTAACTAAAACTCCTTGCCAAGGTCTATAAACTCTTCATGGTTTAGTTTCTTCTATCCCTTTCCAACTCCATCACTGGTTGCTGGTCCATTTATAGGCATTCTGTGGGAGCTTATACATGCTAAGTTTCAGGTCCTGCTCCAGACCTGCTGAACCAGAACCTCTGCAGGTGGAACCCACTACAAGTGATTTTGTTGCATGCTACGTTTGTTTATACTTATGGTCTTTCCTGTAGTTCTTCAAACAGACCATGTTCTTTGTAAACTAAAGACCATTAAATTTAATTGTCTATGTCTAGCATGTTCTTCCTCTTTTTTACTCAACTTTCCACTTAAATATCAGCAATTGAAGATGCATAACCAGTACCCTGGCTGGTGTGGCTCAGTCGGTTGAGTGCTGGGCTGTGAACAAAAGTGTTGTTGGTTTGATTCCCAGTCAGGGCACATGCCTGGGTTTAGGCCCATGTCCCTAGTAGGGGGTATGTGAGAAGGAACCACACTTTGATGTTTCTCTCACTTGCTTTCTCCCTCCCTTCTACTCTCTCTAAAAATAAATAAATAAAATCTTTTTTAAAAAGATGCATTACCACCCATCTGAATTCCGATGTTCTCTCCATCCAGATAGTCTACATTCATCTTGTATTGTCATTCCTTCTCAGTGCACTCACATGTTTTGAATAGTATAAAAAAATCTTATACCTGGCTGTATCAATTATTCTGTCCCAAATTAAACTGATGCGGGTCTTTAAGTAAGTGAATTTTGGTCCTCTCTCAATCCAAAGTCTTTTGTGAAACATGATATCATTGGTACAAACAGGCAAGACATTGGACACTTCCTAGTCATAAAGATTCTTTGGTAGAAACTAGTTGTAAAGAAATTTGTATAATAGATGTTGATTATAGCAAAGAGAAATTGCATGAGACATGGTCAAACATGTAAGGAGACTTCATTTAAGACTATGCAATGGAGGTCAAGATGATTGCAATAAGGGAGAGAGATTGAACTCAACTCCACTGAAAGAAATTCCCTGCCTTTTCTTTCAGTGGATTTGGATTTTTCAAAATGGTATGATTGCACTTATATGAAATTTCTGGAATAGGTAAATCCATAGAGACCATAATCCATAAGTGCTTAAAAAGCCATCATATCCAAAGTCACTTACAGAGAATGGATGATAAGCAAAATTCAATGTGATGAAGAAGTGGGATTTCTTTTCTTTTTCATTTCTTTTCATTCTTGTTCAAGTATAGTTTTCTGCCTTTCCCCCCACCCAGCCCAACACCTCAGCCCTTCCTACCTCCCTTCCATTTTCACCCCCCAACCCATTATTGTCCATGTGTCCTTTATAGTTGTTCCTACAAACCCTTCACCCCTTTAACCTGAAATTCCATCCCTTCTCCTCTCTGGTCAATGTTACCCTGTTCTCAATTTCATTGTCTTTGGTTATCTTTTGCTTGTTTGTTTCTTTTGTTGATTAGTTTCCTGTTAAAGGGGAGATCATATGGTATTTGTCTTTCACTGCCTGGCTTGTTTCAGTTAGCATAATGGTTTCCAGTTCCATCCATGCTGTAGCAAAGGGTAGGAGCTCCTTCTTTCTTTCTGCTGCATAGAATTCCATTGTGTAAATGTACCATAGTTTTTTGATCCATTCATTTACTGGTGGACACCTAGGTTGCTTCCAGCATTTGGTTATTGTAAATTGGGCTGCTATGAACATTGGGGTGCATAGATTCTTTTGGATTGGTGTTATATTTTGGATATAATCCTAGCAGTCGAATCACTGGGTCAAAAGGCAGTTGCATTTTTAGTTTTCTGAGGAAATTCCATACTGTTTTCCATAGTGGTTGCACCAGTCTATAATTCCACCAACAGTGCACTACGGTTCCCTTTTCTCCACAGCCTCTCCCACACTTTGTTTCTTTGTTGCTTTGTTTATGGTGGCTATTCTGACGGGTGTGAAGTGGTATCTCATTGTGGTTTTAATTTGCATCTGTGTGATAGCTATCAATATCGAGCATCTTTTTATATGTCTCTGGATCCTCAGTTTGTCCTCCTTGGAGAAGTGTCTGTTCAAATCCTTTACCCTTTTTTAATTGGTTTGCTTGTCTTCTTAGATGGAGTCTTGTGAGTTCTTTACATATTTTGGAGATTAAACCCTTGTCTGAGGTATCATTTGCAAATATGTTTTCCCATATAGTTGGTTATCTTTTTATTTTAATATTGTTTTCTTTAGCCGTGCAGAACCTTTTTATTTTGATGAGATCCAATTTGTTTATTCTTTCTTTGATGCCTCTTGTTCTAGGGGACATATCAGTGAAAATACTGCTGCGTGAAATATCTGAGATGTTCCTGCCTACGTTCTTCTCTAGGACTTTAAGGGTGTCACGACTTATATTTAAATCTTTTATACAGAAAAGGTGGATTTTTTTTAGACAGCTGCTTTCATTACTGTCAGCTTAGAATCCTAGGATCAGTGTTTCCCTTACAGAACATAGAGCTTTCTCCCAAGAACTTTTTGTAGAGCCCTCTTCATGTCCCTGTTCCGCAGGCTGTAGATGAAGGGGTTCAGCATTGGGGTGACCACAGTGTACATCACTGAGGCAATCATGCTCCTCCAGGAAGTTGCATCAGAACTGAGATACACACCAAGGCCTGTCCCATAGAATAAAGAAACTGTGCACAGGTGAGACCCACAGGTAGAAAAGGCTTTATATTTCCCATGTCCTGATGAGATTCTCAGGATTGAGGAGACAATTCGAATATAGGAGCAAAGAATCCCTAAGAAGGGAACAATGGCAAGAAGGGTAGTCCCCATATAGAGCAGGATATGATTGATAAGTGTGTCTGAGCAGGCTATGGTGAGGGCCTGAGCAAGTTCACAGTAAAAGTGTGAAATCTCCCAGTTGGTACAGAAAGACAGCCGCAATGTCAACAGACTCTGGGTCAGGGAGTATGTTGTGCTGATGAACCAAGACATAAGAACCAGCAGGCCACAGAGATGGAGGTTCATGATGAGTGTGTAGTATAAGGGGTGACAGATGGCCACAAAGCGGTCATAGGCCATCATTGCAAGGAGAAGAGTGTCCATAACTCCAAAAATATTAAAAAAACACATCTGGGTGATGCAGCCTGCATAGGTGATGACTTTGCTCTGTGTCTGGATGTTCACCAGCATCTTTGGCATGGTGGTGGAGGTGAAACAGATGTCAGCCAATGACAGGTTGGAGAGGAAAAAGTACATTGGCATGTAGAAGTGGGAGTCAGAGGTGATGGTCAGGATGATGAGCAGGTTTCCCAACACAGTAATGAGGTACATGGACAGGAAAAGACAGAATAAGATGGGTTGATGCTCTGAGTCTTGGGAAAATCCCAGAAGTATAAAATATGACAGTCTTGTTTGATTCCCTGTTTCCATACTGCTGAAATACCAGCTAGATTATTGAGAAAAGAAAATAGCATGAAAGAGATACTGAACATGTAAAGGGGGATGAATATACTCTACTTATATAAAGCCACCCATAATAATCCTAGTAAATGTTAAACCCAGCATGTTACTCTAACCTGAATTTTTTCCTCAGAGTTAGCTCTTGCATGTTAAATTATTATTATTTTTAATTAGCAGTTTCAGTTCCTGTGTGAATCTAAGGAGCAGGCTGACCTCAAGACCTCAGCCAATGCCAACAGTCCAGACATAGCAATGCAAGTGACATAAGTCAGAAGGCCAAACACAGGACTCTGCCCTTTAAAATCCATAATGGGACCATGAACCACACTACCTGCATGCCCATAGCTCTTCCTTGATCTCTTTGTTCTACTTTCTCTCTCCCTACTTATAAAAACCTTTGCCTGCATTGAGATGTTAAGATTGGCTTTGGAGGTAGGGGTCCCCATCTTCTCACGTGACAGCACTTGAATAAACCTCTTTCCTTTCAACAGCACCTGTTTCATAAAGTTGGCTTTTGTTGTAGCAGGAAGCTGAAATGGGACTGGTTCCAGATAGGCCTAAATTAACTCTACTTTTTAAATTTCTTGAAGTAGAGACTTCCAGCCAAGATGGAGGTGTAGCTAGATACACTTTGCCTCCTTGCACAACCAAAAGAAGGACAACAACAAATTTGAAAACAAAAAATAACCAGAACTGCCAGAAAATGGAACTATGTGGAAGTCTGACAACCAAGACGTTAAAGAAGAAACATTAATTCAGGTTGGCAGGAGGGGTGGAGACAGACACCTGGGGCAGGGAGGGCATGTGGCAAGGCACGGGCTGGAGGGATAGGTGGGTGAGGTGATGACTGGTGGACTACATGGTTCCACATTTGCATGAGTATAAACTAGGAGGAGCAACTGGGTAGTGAGACAGACCATGCAACCCAGGGTTCCAGTGTGGGAAAAGAAAGCCTCAAAAACTCTGGCTGTAAAACCCTGTGGGGGTTGACATGGTAGGATAAACTCCTAGTCTCACAGGAGAATTTGTAGGAGAGACCCACAGGAGAGTCGTACAACACACACAAACCCACCCACCTGGGAATCAGCACCAGAAGTCACCAGTTTGCTTGTGGGTAATGGGAGAAGTGACTGAAAGCCCTTTGAGAGCTAAGCAAGCAGCATTGTTCCCTTTTGGACCCCTGCCCCACATACAGTGCCACGATGCAGCTATGAGGGTTGCCTAGCCCTGGTGAATACCTAAGGCTTTGCCCCTTACAATGTAACAGATACTCCAAAACAAAGAAAAAGGGCCCAAATGAAAAAATAGATCAAAACTCCAAAAATCGAACTAAATGATGAAGTGATAGTCAACCTATCAGATGCAGAGTTCAAAACATTGGTAATCAGGATGATCACAGAAATGGTTGAGTGTGGTTGCAAAATAGAGAAAGAAGCGAAGGCTATGCAAAGTGAAATAAAGAAAAATATAGAGAGAATCAAGAGTGAATGGAAGGAAATCAGGACCTAGATCAATGACTTGGAGCAGAAGGAAAATAAACATTCAACCAGATCAGAATGAAGAAACAAGAATTCAAAAGAATGAAGAGAGGCTTAGGAATCTCTGGGACTCCTTTAAATGTTCCAATATCCAAATCGTAGGGGAGCTGGAAGGAGAAGAAGAAGAGCAAGAAATTGTAAACTTATTTGAAAACATTATGAAGGAAAACTTCCCCAATCTGGCAAAGGAAATAGTGTTCCAGGAAGTCTAGGAAGGTTAGAGAGTCCTAAAAAAGTTGGACCAAGGAGGAACACACCAAGGCACATCATGATGACATTACCCAAGATTAAAGATAGGGAGAGAATCTTAAAAGCAGTAAGAGAAAAAGAGGCAGTTACCTACAAAAGAGTTCCCATATAACTATCAGCTGATTTCTCAAAAGAAACCTTGTAGGCAAGAAGGGACTGGAAAGAGCATTCAAAGTCATGAAAGACAAGGACCTACATCCAAGATTACTCTATCCAACAAAGCTTCCATTTAGAAAGGAAGGGCAGATAAAGTGCTTCCCAGATAAGGTCAAGTTAAAGGAGTTCATCATCACAAGCCCTTATCATAGGAAATGTTGCAGGGATTTATCTAAGAAAAAGAAAATGATCAAGAACATCAACAGCAAAATGACAACAAACTCACAACTATGAACAACTGAACCTCAAAACAAAAACAAACTAAGCAGACAACTAGAACAGGAACAGGATCACAGGAATGGAGATCATATGGAAGGTTATCAGTGAGGAGGGGGGGGAGAAGGGGGAAAAGATGCAGGGAATAATAAGCATAATTTGCAGATACAACATAGAGAGGAGGAGATTCAGGATAGTATAGGAAATGGAGAAGTCAAAGAACTTATATGTATGACCCATGGACATGAACTAAGATTGGGAATGTTAATGGGAGTCAGGGTGCAGGGCAGAGAGGAATAAAGAGGAAAAAATGGGATAGCATAATCAATGAAATGCATTTAAAAAATAAAAATAAAACCTAAATAAATAAATTTCTTGAAGTGATTGGGCATAAAAGCTATAATAACAAAATTTAGGAATTCTATATTGTTTTATTTGTTACATGCAACATATCATATTGTTGATCAACCCTTGGTTATTGTCCTCTGGAACCCTTATCTATCTTCTTTATCCCAGGATTATAATTATCAGTAAACAGCAACTTTGCACCTTAGAGATAAAATGGTTTATACTCACTCTAACACAAAAATGAAACATGAGCTCTTGTGAACTCAGTAATTTGATCTAGGCTTTCTTTCCCCTCTAGGATTCATGAAAGGGTCAGATAACCATGTCTTGGAGGTGAGAAAATTTCAGAAAATATCTCAAATATCTGGATAGATGATTGGGGCATGAGGAGAATGTAAATTCACTTCTTGTATATGTCATTTGACAAAATACATTTCATCTGTGAAGTTAAGGGATTGTTTAAAATGTTCAAGGGAAGAGCCAACATCAAGGCTTAAATTATTTCAATACTCTAAGACACTACTTCAAAGGTCACAAACAGAATTTTGAGTCATGTTGTCTATCCTGTTCATTAAATACTGGGGGCGGGGAGTTGGCGGGGGCGGGGAGGGGAGGAAAATTGCCCAGGATTTTAACACAGCCTGAAAGGATGACAGTTGGATTTGGCACTCACATAGGGTGCTGCTTACAATGGGGCTGGAAACATGGGTGCACTCATTCACAGCCCACCTATTTTCTCCTTTCTTCACCCCAGGTGTTTAAAGTCCTATAAGCAGGCACAGAGGGATGGGTCCTATAACCAGGGACAAGGAATAGCATAAACCCATTCAGTGATCTCCAGTGTTCTATTTTTTCTTGTTATAAGTGTTTTCCTACATTTGCTATTCCATAATGCCCCTAACTACAGTGGAGGCTGTCAATATTGTCAGTCTTCTTAGGTATAAAAACCAAAGTGGGAGGAGAAAGCAGAGAATCGAAAGGTCCAAAATTCCAGATATAAAGTAAATAAGTCATGGGGATGTGATATATGGCTGGTAACTATAGTTAACACTGTATTGCATGTTTGAAAGTTGCTAGGAAAGTATATCTTAAAAGTTCTCATCACAAGAAAGAAATTTCTGTAAGAATGTAAGGTGATAGATGGTAACTAGACTTATTGGGGAGATCATTTGCATATATACAAACACCGAATCATTATGTTGTACACCAGAAACTAATATAATGTTATATGTCAATTATATCTCAATTAAAGAAACTCCAAACTGGATATTGTCCCTGGAATGATAAATTGGCCATATCATATGCAATTTGTTTAGCAATGGATAAATATCTTTGTTTTGACTCTTGGGAGTAGAGGCAGTTTGGAATCATCTCTGGTTGTCTTTGATCACGTGGGAGATATTCTAAGCAAACTCTCAGGATATATTTCTAAAGTATAATATTGCAAAATATTGCAATATTGCAATATTATTATTTGCAATAATATTGGAAAAAATTATCTTGTGTTTGAATAAGTGTGGCTTGTTGAGTTGCACTGGCGTTTCTCTTATTGAGCAGAATAGGGGAGAGTACATGGGAGATGTCTGAGATTCTGGATATTCCCTAATGTGCTGTGTGTGTTAACAGCATCAACTGCATTGGAAAAGATGAAACAATTTCATTGCTTACCAGACTATTTCAGGGACTTCCTTCCTGGTCTCCAATTTCACCTTTGATTCCTCCACACGTCCATCTGATTGAGATTTCCAAATAGAAATCGTATCCTGTCACTCCCTTACCTGACATCTTTGAAATGCCTTTTTTTAAAAAATTTATTTTAATCATTGTTCAAGTACAGTTTTCTGCCCTTTACTCCCATCCTAGCCCACCCTCCCATCCCTTCCCACCTCCCTCCCATTTCCACCCCACCCCTGGTTTTTATCCACGTGTCCTTTATATTTGTTCCTGTAAACCGTTGTGCCACCTGCTGAAAACATCCAAAGTCCTTGGTATATCGTGATTCCACTTTGACACCCTAGCCTTATTTCTCACCACCTCTCATTTTTTATTCTAAATTCTGATCATTCTACAAAGCTTTTCTTTTCCAAAAGGGCCATACTGCCTTACATGTCTGAAATTTGTCAAGATCTTCTCCCTTTACCTAAACCTCCCTCTACTTCCTTCTCTTCATTCCTACCTGTGGTTATATACATGGCACAGGCTCTCACCTGGTGAGGTAATTCCCAACTACATCAGTTCTCAATGCTAGTTGAGTTCTTAGTGCAAAAGAGACTCCTTGCATTGGTTTGGTGGTAGAATAAATAAAAAGATGAGCTACAAACCAATATTATTTCATTGCTGCAGCTCATTATATAGTCTTTGGGTGTCCATTACCCCAAGACTTTTAGCAATTCTTACCCACAAGGAGGTTACTATATGGAGAGAGGATAAATAAGGTGTTGATGGAGAAAAGAGAGAAAAGGA